TGGAAAAGTCCATCACATTGAGGCCATTCATCCTTGGTGATCACTGAGGGAAAGTTGGCCACACACCAGTCCTGAACCATCTTCTTCGTGTGAGCGGGAGCTCCATCTTGCATGAAGATCCAATTTTGATTGTTATTGGCTTTAGATGCCCATGACATCACATTCTTGACATCACAAACGGTCTTTGAACTCTTGTTGCAATAATTATGACGCACCCTGTAAATATTCAGAAAGCCTTGATCTTTTTTTTAATTTTCGAATCGAAAACTGCTTGTTTATTTGAGATCACATCTGACAAAACCAATCGAAATTCGAAATCGCGAACATTTCAAATGACTTCACACCCAATAAACTCTTATCATCGCATCAATTTCCAATAGACCCCTACAAACCTGTCACTTCCTCAATTCACGGCTTTTACATGGTTCAAGCAATAAAACACTGTATCAACAAATAAAAATCACACTTCGTCTGATCCTTTTCAAGATTGTAAAAGCACGACAATTTTTGTTTGATCAATCATTCGCTGAGGTTCCTGCTTTCAAGATTGTAAAAGCACGACAATTTTTGTTTGAGCAATCATTCGCTGAGATTCCTGCTTTGAAATGCACCAAAAAGCTATAGTTCTCCTATTTTTGCTTTTCAATACAAGTTTTGGTAAGTTGGACGCAAAAAAAAAACAGAAAGCTTTCGTTTCAGCCTTTGACACATGTTATGTATTGTTCGTGATCGATGGCTCAAGTTATTGGGTTTGTTTTGAGAAGCCTTCAATTAGTAGAGTGTGTTCCTCGCAAGTAATGCCTTTTTTAAAACGCACCCTTAGGAAAAATTACCGTCCTTTTAGCGAAAAATCACGAGCGCCGCCTTATATACGACTCCTTTTAAAGATATTCAATCGTTCAACTGATTTGGTGGCAAATTCCCTTCAAATGTAAAGATATTCAATTTACTCGACGTGTAAAGAGGATTACTCGTAGTGATTCATTACTCGTAGACCAAAAACGCCGATTAATCGAGTAGAGATTGCTCATGCAAATTTTACTCGAGTAATTACTTACTCGCGAGGAACACACTCTATCAATTAGGCTCAATTCAATTAGCGTTCAAATAGCGTTCAATCTAAAATTAGGCTTCACGAATTTACATAAATACAAAGAATTTAGAATACAAAGAATCTAGAATACGAAGAAAAACTTTGCCTTTTGATTTCTATCTATCGCAGAGTTCTGGTCTCTTAAAAATTGGGTTGCAAGATTTTTTTGAAGAGGCAGCTCCAGTGATAGCTCAGCCGTTTGTAAATAAAAGAAGAGCTTTATGTGCCTTTCGTACAAATCCTAACAATCTCGTAAGTACTCTAATATAACACAATTCAGCCATCTTTCCGCGGTGAGATCACCTCAATCGCCACCACAGGAAATATCCTTTATTCATCGAGTGCCGTTTATACAAATTCGAATTTTTGGTTGTACGGAGATGGAGATCAAGATCAACCGATTCCGAATTGGTTTTACTCGGAAAAGCAAGATTTTCTCGATAATGTTGCCGAAGTGGAATCGGATAAGGGACAGGAAACGATCGTGGGGTGGGTTTAGAAGAACTTCTTGTCTGTTGGCTAACACCAACACGAACTGTTGGCCAACACCAACACGAAAAGTCAGCTTGACTTCAAAAAAAGCTCAGCTCTTAACCTATCCCTTGTCAGCTCTTTGAAAGTATTTTTCTAAGAAACCAGCTAAATCATCTAAGAAATCAGCTAAATCAATAAAAAGTTTAGCGCAACAGCCAAGCTTAACCGATGGGAAATCCACAATGCTGTGATCGTTCTCTACACAGCTAGGTAGCACAGAGTTTGAACTTGAATCTCTTACCAAATTTTCAGCCCTCAAAATCTGATCCGGATTGCCGGATCCAATTACACTGAACAATATCGTACACTGGCTATTCATGTGAATGGTTTTTACTTGATTATTGAAATTGAATTCCATTGTTTTTAGATGGAGTTGATATGAGTCCAATCTCGGGTTATTCAAGTCCACAAATGTCCGATTTTGAGAATATCGTTGAGCTGATTGCCGATGTTTGTCGGCAATTGCCAACAGAAGGGGTAGGTGAATATTGAAAGCTGACTTGATAAGATTTGTTGTTTGAAAATCAACACTTCTTTTTAAGCCAACCACTTCCGAGCTGCCTACCACTGCTACATCGTCATCGTCTGCTACATCGTCGCCGTCAACTAGTCCTTAGTAACATTACTGCACTAATATTTAATTTCAAACAGTTCTTCTCAAAAGCAAGCTTTAGTTTCCCAACCCAAACCACAAGTACTCAAAGCGAAACGCCAACAACGTGAGATTTTTTATTATTAGTGTTAAATAGAGCTAGCTGAGTGTAGCTCAAGCTCAAGCTCAAGCTCAAGCTCAAGCTAAGTGCAGCTCAAGCTCAAGCTGAGTGCAGCTCAGCTCGAGCTGGTGACTCAAGCTCAGCTGGTGGCCAGCTCAAGCTGAGTGCAGCTCGCTGGTGGCTCGCTGAGTGTAGCTCAAGCTCAAGCTGAGTGCAGCTCAAGCTCAAGCTGAGTGCAGCTCAAGCTCAAGCTGAGTGTAGCTCAAGCTCAAGCTGAGTGTAGCTCAAGCTCAAGCTGAGTGCAGCTAGACTCCTCGTGAAGTTCAACTTTAAATTTAACCATTCTGTACGGAAGAACTATACAATATTACATTTTGCAAGACAAGATCTAAATTAGGTTTTATGCTAAATTTTAAGTTTATCTTTGGATACAGTATAGGTTGCAAATTTTAGGATGACAGGGACTACTGGAGAAACGACAGACACCACAGGAACGACGGGGACTGTTGGATCAACATCAACTCCTTGGGAAGACATCACTGCAACGACTGAATCTTTTGGAACAACTGTAAGTCGTTGTCTAGCGTAACTGAAATTGTTTTGAAATTTTGAAATTTTGACTAAGCTCAACTTATTTAAGGGATCAGCATCAACAGAAAGTGCTATCAACAGAAAGTGCTGGAACAACAGAAACTGCATCAACCACATCATCAGATTGTTTTGTCTAACTATTAAATTTTGAAGTTTATTCCAATTGCTGCAATAAATTATTTTACAAAGATATAAAAATCTAATAATCTTTTGGGGCCATTGGGGAAACGGTGAGCGAGAAGGTGCGAATCTCTTGCGGGTTCAGAGTGACTGTTGTGGCTGAAATGTATTGTAAAAGAGAAATTGAGTAAACTGTAATTGGTATATCAAGTCATAAATTCTATTCAAAGTATTCACTTAAACAGAAAAACTTACACTTTCCGGTGGAATTTTTGTTTCCTCCGAGCAGCAACTCTTGCACCGATTGAATCGTGAACCCGGTGAAGAGATTCTAAAGAAAAACTTTTGAATAAATACTTTAACAAGTTGAGAACTTGACTAGTAAATTAAAATGTGAACAGCTATAGTTTCTTGGGGCATAGTTCATACCAAGACATAGTTCATACCGAGAAATCGATAGTGGCTGGTTGTGAAAGGGATGGATCCTCATTTGCTTGGAAGATATGCTCCAATCTCATCAAGATTCCATCGCTTCTCTTCTCCAGCGTCAACAAGTTCACATTGGCTGGAAGGTCGCGCTTGAGGCCAGCAAACTGAAATCAATTGTATTTCTTGTCTGACAAGATCTGACATAAGATAGTTAACAATAGCAAGTCTTGATCTGATTCAAAAGCCTAATTCTTGTTGATCTAGTTACCTTGGTTTTGGTTGCTTGTCGGTAAGCAGCAGGATCGGCAACGGTGGCATAGGCGGCGATCGGACGATGGAAAAGATTGACGGCGAGCGGGCGATGGGTTGATGCTGATGGCTAAAATGAAAAGTCAGCTTTTGAAGAACCCCGAAGAATCATGACTTTGACGATATCCAGGTTGCGGCAAAATTATGGAACTAACAATCAGCTTTTTCGAAATTATGAACGAGCAGTCAGCTGTTTCGCGTTGTTGTTTTTGCATTTGTTTTGTATTTATTGTTTTGTATTGTTTTGTTTTGTATTGTTTTGTTAAGTATTATTAAACGCTCTGTTATTAGATATGGAAAGCAAAGAGGACTTGCTCCGGGAAGCAAAGAGAACTTGCTCCCGGGAAGCAAAGAGAACTGGCTCCCGATTATTTGAGGAAGGAAAACAAGTGATGGAGATGGCCGATCTTTTGAAAGATCTTTCGGTCATTCCAAAAGCCATCAAACGTTACAAAGAGACGAGAAACAACGACAATCGGGCTGGGAGAGGATGTCCTAAAACAGCTACCACGCCCCAGCGATGAAAGCAAGTCTTAAACGATTATTGAACGTCTTAAACGTAACCCAAGGATTGGAAAGAACTCAACTCGGAATGAAAATGGCGGTCATTGGAATCTCAGATCGCTCTGTTTGACGAATTCTTTAAAAAAAGGAATCAAAGCCAGAAAAGATGTAAAAGGCTGAAGGATCCAATGAAATTGAAGCGTCTTGCACCTGCTAAATCGCTAAGTGGATCGCTAAGAACTTTCCATATTGGATCACCGTTGATTTCAGCTCACAGATTCCTAGTGAATGGCCATCGAACTCGCCTGATCCTCAACCCTCTCGATTATTTTATTTGGTTCATTCTGGAGGCAAAGACTTGTGCTAAATCCCACATATCAATCGACTCTTTGAAGCGCGACTTGGTTAATGCATGAAACTCAATTTCTTTGACTATTATCGATAAAGATTTCCAAAAAGGGAATCGCCGATTTTCCCAAGCGATTGAAGAAAAGTCTTGCTGCAAATGGTGGCCATTTTAAGATTTAAAAATTGTTATATTGTAATTAATTTGTTTTTTTATTTTGATGAATAAATTGTTGGCCGTTGCGAAAATTTATGATTAAGGAGTTTCCATTAATTGTTGTTCCATAATTTTGCCGCAATCTATAGCTTTGTTTATCCATGAATTAACCGTATTCTTTTACGCTATTATGATAAAGAGTTCAACCAACCGCCGGTTCATCGAAAAGAACCCAATGTTGTCCACGAACAACTAATCCCTTTCCGTCTTTTCCAGGCTCATCCAAAGCTTCATCGACACCGAAATGATCGTCGTGGAAACAACGACGATGAAGCTAAACAATGCAAGGTATTATTTTCCTTTAAGATCTTATCTCTTTGTATAGCTTAGGCAATTTGTACCATCAATTCAAGCGCTCCATTCCTGGCCATTCCTCCTTGGGCACGATCGGTCAGCACAGTCAATTGATTTGTGTTATCTTTCATGAAGATCCGGTTGACGACTGGGTAATAGTTTCCGGCAATTGGCTCAGTGTCCTCATATTGGAATTGTGGATAGGAGTCCCATCTGAATGGTTTTATAAAAAGAGCTAATTCTCATTGTAATATTAGATCTATTTAACAACTAGACTAACAACTAGAGATTTGATAGAGCTTTTGCAGCAAACTAGAGATCTCTCATAGAGCTCAAGCAAACTTTTTAGCACAAACGTTCTCTGGAGCACTTGTCTTCCGCTTGCATCCGTCCAAAAGAGTCCATTTGTTTTGATATCCGTTGTGTATCGAGTGATGATCTCTTTTCCGATTGGGTTGCTAAAAATTACTAGATTCGTAACTTATGGATGTCATCTTGTACTAAAAAATCTATCAAAATCCTCCAAAATCCTCCAAAATCCTTCAAAATCCTCCAAAATCCCTAAAATCCTTTAAAATTTTTCGAAACAGTAGGAAAAATCATAACTTCAGCTTTCGTTTTAACTTGAACCAGGTTTAAAGGGATACTGTACTTCTTAAATACCGTATTTTCTCTAATAGTACCCCTCTAATAATAGTGTACCTCGCCGAGCCGAGTTGGTGACTATTTTACGGCTTTCAAAGTTCTAACAGAAGCTCAACACTCAAATCCCCCATAAGATCTCATCGTCAGCTACATTTTCCGACCCCACATCGATAGGTTCTGATAAGCGCTTTTCAAGATTTCGAGCAATTTAGGCGAAGCTTAGGGTGCACTACTATTAGAGAAAATACGGTATCTAGCCAAAGATATTTCAATCAAACCTGTGAGCCAGGTTCTAGCAGGGACTTTATGCAAGTCAAGCCAGTAATAAGGCAAATAATACCGTATTTTCTCTAATAGTAGTGCACCGCGCTGAGCCGAGTTAGTGACTATTTTACGGCTTTCAAAGTTCTAACAGAAGCTCAACACTCAAATCCCCCACAAGATCTCATCGTCAGCTACATTTTCCGACCCCACATCGATAGGTTCTGATAAGCGCTTTTCGAGATTTCGAGCAATTTAGGCGAAGCTTAGGGTGCACTACTATTAGAGAGAATACGGTAATTAAAATGGCTTAGTTTTTTTTTTAATTGAAGATTTTTGTTTACTTTATATTTTGCTAAACTCTCTTGCCTGTTTTCTTTCGGAATCGGTCCGATGACCCAATCGAATTCAATTTGTGGCTGTCCAGTGTAGAGGCGAATCGTCTGATAAGCCCAGTCGGTCACCTTTTGCCTCACCTCTTGCACCGAGGCGCCCTAAAAGTGTCGCCAGTAAAAATTTGTACGAGACTTTACGAATGTTTTTGGAATAATAAAAAGTTCAAAAAAAGAGCTTTCTAAGAGAATCGCTAGATAGATTGAATCTCAAATGAAATATTTTTATTGTTTAACAGCACAGCTATGCAGTGATATAAAACCAGGGTCGCTACAAGATGGTACGACCTTTTATACGCGCCCCGCCCCCTTTGCCATTGACAATCGAACTTTGAGCTCAAATTTCTTGGTGTTGGGCTGTTCAATTGGAATAGTTTTCTTACCATTCGATAGAGAAAGACTTGGCGCATCTAATGAAACCAAGAATATCTAAATTGAACAGTCTAACACCAAGATATTTGGGCTCAAAGTTAGACGACCAATCTAACTTTGCCAATGGCAATCTAGCTTTGCCAATAACTGGATCTGCGCTTGTTCAGAACTTGTAAATGTCACACTGCAAATCCAACCTTGACAACGGTAGTAGTAATTGATGTGCTCAAAGTTTTCGTCGTTTGAGCAGCTGGCCGGAAAATGTAGGCACCAGAGGGTTGAGCAGAGTTGGCACTGCTCTAAACAACAAACAGACTCTTTAAAATTTTACAAAAGCTTTAAATAGGCACTGATTTAGATTTAATATGCTAGTTTTGCATAGATTTGCATAGATTATCTTCTTTTACCTCATAATAGAGAAACTCTTGCTTCAAATTGCGACGAGTTCCCGATTTCTTGTTTTGAACCGAAGACAAGTAGCCGTTTGCGTCGAATTGAAGAGAAACATACTAAACAAAAGATTCTTTTGGGATTCTTTTGGGATTTAAGATCATTTAAGACTAGAGCTTACATCGTTTTCGATCGAAACCGTATCAGCTTCACTTGGTTGAATCACTTTTTCCGGGTAGGCAAGTTCCGCGTTGCTTTGTTTTGGTGGCCTAGAAAACGATGAGCTTTGGCTCAAATAAGCTTTGGCTCAAATAAGCTTTGGCTCAAATAAGCTTTGGCTCAAATAAGCTTTGGCTCAAATAAGCTTTGGCTCAAATAAGCTTTGGCTCAAATAAGCTTTGGCTCAAATAAGCTTTGGCTCAAATAAGCTTTGGCTCAAATAAGCTTTGGCTCAAGCTTTAAAATGCTTAATGCTACGGTTTTCTAAATTTCTACTGCTCAAAGAAAACCATTCTTGCACCTTCCAGACAGTCCACTTCCAGAAACGAAATAAGTCCTGAAACCGGCTGGATCTAGTTGGACGGGAATGTAGAGCTCATAAGGGGCAATGTTGGCCGAGGATAAAGGAGGAATCGAGAACGTTGGAACAATCTAAAAGTAAATTTATTGGTCTTGAAATTTTCCAATAAATCTTACTTGCAATAAGCACTTACTTGCACTTTGACGGCAGCTCCAGTATCATCGGCGACTGAGGCGATTGGGTGATAGAAAGGAACTCGAACGAACGAGCTCACAGTTCTGCCGATTGGATTGAATACGGTAACGGCATAGCTTCCAGATTTTCTAAAAATTTGTAGCTGATCAATGAAAAATTGGTTTAAAGTTGTTGCTGATAATATGAAGTGCAAATTTTGTTTTCCTGTGCTCTCAATATTCTTGTAACTGTAAAATTTCTAACAGTTAAATTTCTAACAATTTCTAACACTCAGAGTATTGAGATTTGTTTCCTGCTTAGCTGGTTTATCAATTTCTTTTTTCCTAAACCCACTGGCTGACATCACAAACAGTCTCGTTGCTCAAAAGGCACAAAGTGTAAGTGGGTGGGGTTCCGGTTGAGGACTTCTTCACAGCATCGTTGATCATCGTCTAACATTTTAAATTATAATCTGTTGATTCTATTATATTAGGTACATGCATAAGAAATGCGAATTTCATAGATTTCGACATTTTCATAAATTTCCAACGATAGAAACCTGATGTTATAAACTAGAATCGATGAATGTTATAAACTATTTGAAAGTCGTAAATCTCCTCTACAAAATAGGCTAAAACGTGTCTCAATTGATCGAAGCATTGAAGAAATTTCGAGGGCGAAATGCTTACCGTAAATACTGTAATAGTACCCCACCCCCCTCGTACAGTCACGTAGTCGCAAAAGTTTTTTAGTATTTCATTGCTTTTCAAAGCGCCCGTACTTTCAAAAAAATGCGTCTTTGGTATCAAAAAATAGCCGAAATTCAGGGCTATTTTTTGATACCTAAGCGCGCATTATAGCATAAACCAGTGTCGAGAAAAACTCGTTCAAAGCTCGACTACGCAACACTCCGCACCGTCATTATGGGGCTGGGGTACTATTACAGGATTTACGGTATGTTCTACCTCTATATCCTATTGAAATCTGGAACTCATTTGACTCAATATTACAATGAAAAAATGGCAAGTTCTTTGCAGGAATCCTATGATGCAAAGCTCAAGGTTAGCGCTTATTGTGGATTTTTCTACTTGTCTTAATTCAGGACATTACTACTAACTCTTCGGCTCAATATGTCGCCAAAAAACGCCACAAAATGGGGAGGTATAACGGTAAAGTACCATTATTATAATATAATATAATAGAAATTATAATCTACTATATTAAAAGGAACTAAGACGTCTGTCTGTCCCTCTGTCTGCCCGTCTATCTGTCCGTCTGCCTGCCCGTCTGTCTGTGAGCGCTACTCCTCAGCTCCCAGAGGACCGTTTGCAATGAATTTTGCGCCGTTGAATAGGGAATTCAATGTAGTTGCGCAACGTGCTTTTGGATTTTTTAAAAAGCAAAATTGGAGTCGTATACGGGGGTCGAACCCGGATCGTATGGGCGATAGACCGGCGCGTTATCCACTGCGCCATGGGGACAAAAGCCGTTCTTGCCCAAAAAATCCGGAAAAACAGTTTCCCGGCTGGTCTTAGATAGTCGGGCCTCTCAGGATCCTCAAGGGCAGCACAGACAGCCCTTGAGAGGAAAGGGCGCGGGAAAGTATCGAATTCAATGTACCCTCATGGCGGATTGCCAGAGCGTCTGTCCCCAAATCCGAAGCTACGGGTTCGACCCTGCCTGCAGTCATTGTTTTCACCGCAGCCAACTTAATGCATTGCTCTTACCACGTTCTAGTTGAACTTTCAATAAATCTGAGCCTTATTTATGTCAAGTAGATCCAAGCAAAGACTCTTTGCTTCTTGCCCAAAACATCCAGAAAAACCCGCCGTTAAGAGGGTTTTCCGGCTGGTATAATATATAATATAATAAATTCATAAGCTTAGCCCACCTCAAGCTGTCTCACTCCCTTGTCCAAGCGCTGTTGGTAGTCGTAAGTGACCACTTGCTTGGCTGTTCCACTAAAAATCTGGTATTGATAACTGATGACTCAGTCCTGCGTATTTAACGAATGAATTTTTGTTTACCTGACTCCATCATGATGTTGTACAAGTCCGCTGGCTCTCTTTGCTGTTTCCAAAGCGGCATCGTCGTTCAAATTAAAGTGAGCGGTCAGTTGTTTGCCCAACTATAACAAACTATGTAAATGGTTTGTCAACGCATTTTTTTTGCTAGCTTCTTTTCCATTCATTTCTTTACTTTATTATCTAGTATTCTCACTGAACTAATTAATTGAATTATTACTTTTTTTGTATACTTACATTGAGATACGAACTAGCTTGACGAATCATTCCCTTGAAAGCCGGTCTTGAGGTGAAATACCCAGTCCAGAAGCTGTGATCACCAGAAGCATATCTAAAAAATAGGTGAAAAAGGCTGGCTGGCTGGCTGGCATGCAATTTTAAAGGTTCAAATTTACATACGGAAAGAAATCGTCTTGTTTTGATCCCCAAATGGTCGGTGTTGCTTGGAGAGCATTCGCGTAACAGGCTGGAGTCGAGTACTGGACGTTCATTCCAAAGCTTGGCTGAAACTAGGTACTTGCTAATGGCTGTACTTGTACTAGATTGTTTTAAAATCACATTAGCATTGATGTATGCAACGAGCTTGTCGAGATTTCGGTACCACTTGTTGGCTTGTTGATAGTTGAAATCGTTGCCCATCGTCAACAAGACGTTGTTCGTTCGATAGTGAGAAGCCTAGATGAACATAAAAAAATAGAAACTCTAATGACAGTAATATCTTTCTAGCAAATACTCTAATAGAAGCCCCCTATCGGAGCGTCGCGTGGCCATAGTTTACTCTCAAATAAACGGTCATATCTCGATACTAGTACGTTTATTTCTGCGGACTTTGGTATCAAATTAAAGTAGAGAGGATGGGTGATTTTTTGAGATATAACACATATATTTTTAGCATTAAACAGCGCTTAGAAAAAAATAATGAAAAATCGGCTTTTTTTGCCACTTTTCTTTTGCCTTTTTGACACAACAAAAAGCCGATTTTTCATCTTTTTTCCATCTTTTTTTCTAAGCCCTGGTTAATGCTAAAAATATGTGTTATATCTCAAAAAATCACCCATCCTCTCTACTTTAATTTGATACCAAAGTGCGCAGAAATAAACGCACTAGTGTCGAGATATGAGCGTTTGTTTGAGAGTAAACTTAAACTACGCTACGTGACGCTCCTACAGAGAGGGGGAGGGGCACATCCGCGCGAAATAAGGCAAAAAAACGTTCTCTATCAGAATTTCACGTTAAGTATCCATTCGACGCAGAAAATTGTGCTGAATCGAATGGTGAAGAAATTATCGAAATCCGTCTGACTCGATTTTTTAAAATCGCGTTTTATCGAAAAATCGCACTTTTTCAATCAACTCGCTCGCCGCGACTAACTTTCGGCGGCTCGTTTTCAGCGTGGTCGAAAGATTGCGCCCTCGAAACCGATAACTTTTGTGTGGACGTGTACAAAGATCATTTTGATACCAAAAAAACAAAAATTGACCAACTCTGCGAAGACTTGATGCCTTTTTAAGTTAAAAATGACGTTTTGCGACTTTCTGCCCACTAAAACGTGGACAATCGGGGAGCTTCTATTAGAATATTTTCCATATTTATAATACTTATTGAAAGTACAGTTTCTACATTATTGCACTGCGTTGGGACAAATAATTTATAGTATTCGTTGTCAGTGCTCAAGTTTGGATGGTCTGTCACCTCTTCAATTTAAACCAGGCAATCGTATGGTTAGTCAAGCTTGCCATCTGACCAGTCAAGCTGATTGCCTACTTTATATTCCGACCAGGCAAAAAAAAACGCCGGGTTTTTCATGCTAAGCTAGTTTCTGTCGTCGTGGAAGAGTCGGGAGCGCGCAGAGTCGGGAGCGCGCTTGTCTACGGCCCACACGGTCCGGGTTCGACTCCCGAATGTTTCCCCCAACCTTGATTTTTTTTAAATTTTCTCTAAGTGGCACAACTACAAGATATTCTAAGATTTTCTAAAGAAGTTTTAGCTTTATTGGTCAAAACACGACTGAGAAAATCCCCGTACAGACAGACAGACACTACTCTTTTATATAGATTTATTAGATTTAGATTTATTGAAGTTAGATAAAAGACTGAACCCTACAGTATTCCAATTAGTCATTAATTTTCGTAAATTGTGCACAAAAGTTACCTGTGCTTTCACTTCATCCGCAAATTGTCGAGATCGTCGGTCAACGTTTCCATCCTAAGTTGGATTATCTGATTTTTAATCAGTACAGTAAAATAACTCTTAAACTCTTCACGTGAAAGTAAAGACATTCAGTCTAGATGACTGAGTGTTTTGTAGCAAAAATTACATTGATTTCCTCATCATTACATCCAGAGTCAAAGCAAAAATTGTCTGGTGGGCCATAATGAGAATAGAAGCTTCCCGTGAAAATCGATTTTTCTAAAGCTTTTTGTAAGCAAATTTTTGACTTTTATATTAAATTGGCTGGCTTAATGGCTGGCTTAATGGCTGGCTTAATGGCTGGCTGGCTGGATTAATGGCTGGCTTAATGGCTGGCTTAATGGCTGGCTTATTGGCTGGCTTATTGGCTGGCTTAATGGCTGGCTTAATGGCTGGCTTAATGGCTGGCTGGCTGGCTGGCTTATTGGCTGGCTTATTGGCTGGCTTAATGGCTGGCTTAATGGCTTAATTCAGAAATCAAAAAGAAATTCCCATACTCTGTTCATCGTTTCCGACCCAGTTGAACTCGAGATTCTTCTGAATGCGACGCTGGGTTCGGTCCAAGTAATGAATTCTGGCAAACCACAATGAAGTCATGCCCATCTACAAGAAATTTGATAATTTTTTAATAGATTTCAGTCTACAAATCAAAGCAAATCAAATCAAATCAAATACAAATCAAATTTTGCCTTATGAGTGAGTTACCTGAGCTGCAAGATTGGCGAACTCGCGGCTGTGCCCGAACGGGTCAATTTGCCAGGCTGCTTGTGGGGCGCCGCACTCTCCGAAGAGGCTTTTCAGGTGTTCATAACTAAAATAAAGGTTTTTACGAGTTTTTCTAGAGTTTTAGGCCAATTTTTCTTCGTTACCCCAATGTCATTTGATCAATAATGTCAACATAGTGAGCGGTGGCCTCATCATTTTGCACCCATCCTCCACCGATCGCCTCGGCTTGTCCTAGAAGTGAAAAGTGAGCCATTTTGTCACTTTTAAAGTTGCATAACTGGTTAAATACTTAGAAATTGAGATGTTTAATGTTTCGATGACTTTTAAGCTTATTGTATTTGACCAGTTTAGAGCTCACCCGCCACACTAACTGTACAGAGTGCGGCAGAATTATGGAAACTCAAGTTATTGAGTCTAACTCAGTTCTCGATGCCTCAAATCAAATAGCTCTTTTTTGCTAGTATATTCTGAGTTATTTGCTTTGAGGAAAAACATTATTGGACAAAGGCAACTGTTTCCTAAAAGTTCTGATAATTATTCAAAGTGCAGGGAATTCCCGGCCGAATGGTGAGATTTCACGATTTTCGTAGGTGGCTAGAAATTTCCCCAAGAAAAGAACCATTTCTTTGATTTAATTTCAATCTTTTATGACTACTTCTTGAATATGTTCATGTTTTTCGGCAATTGTAACCATAAATAGAATCTTAGAACGATTCGTAGTGGCCGGGAATTTAGTTGAAACAGAGCAATAACGAAACAGTTGAAACAGTAAACAGTAAACAGTTAGTTGTTTTTTATTTACTCTATCAAACAGCATTCACCCACCTGCTGCCACCAATTTCTGCCATCTTGCTAGAATACTCGAGTTTCGACTCTCCACCCATCGCATGAAGAAACCAGTTTCAGCAAAAGAGAATCTAGATTTTCAAATTCTTTTCAAATTTCGCGATTCCTTAATTCCCAATTCCAATTTAAATCCAATTTCAAATCCAATTCCAATTCCAATTTAATTCCAATCCCAAGTTAATTCCAATTTCAATTTAATTCCAATTCCAATTGAAGGCTGTAGCTTGTAAGCTTACCTCCTTGTTGAGTCTTTTTCCAACTCTTGCAACACTGTGTCGTAGATGTATTGAACTTCTGAAAAAACAAGCTTAGAGAATTTCAGCAGTCACACCTCTCTCATAGTACTGATCAACGGTGATCAGCCATCCCAAATCGTCGTGACTGTGGCAAATCAAGTGAACATTCAAAACATTCGGATCAGTGGATACTGGGTTACAATTCTAAAGTTTTTTTTGTTAAAATCGATCACCCTAGAACTGTCTATTGTTAAAATTGATCTGTTTACAGATTCTTAACTTGTCTATTACACCAAATAACGATAAAGTAAATGAAAATTAGCTCTGACAAGTAACTTTTACTCATTAAAATCAAACTATTCATCAAATAAAACTTTGATTCTTGAAAGAAAACTGTAAAACTTTGTAAAACTTGATCTAATACAGTTCCAATACGGTTCCAATACGGTTCCAATACGATTCCTATTTTGATCTAATACAGCTCCAATACAGTTTCAATACGGTTCCTATTTTGATCTAATACAGTTCCAATACGGTTCCAATACGGTTTCCAATACAACTTGGATTTTCTAAAGTTTCAAACGTTTAATAGCAAAGTTTAACTTTCAAAATTCCTTACATCCCAAGAGCAACATCTCGCCAACGCCAAACAAACCGCTAATAACCCGAGCCTCCTCATGTGACCTCTAAAAAAGTTCAAAAATAATTTCTGTACATGTGGTCAAATAAAAATACTTCTAAATTTTGATAAGAACTTCAGGAATTCGCTTTATATCCAGCGTGGCCAGTGGCACTCGTAAATTTATCAGCGAAACCGAAAGCTCTGATAACTGCTTTCACCTTTCAGAAAATTGTTGTGAATTGGGAGAAGGTGAAAAGCTTTCAGGAGTCAGTGTTACATGGTTCAACGCTGAAAGGAGAGTTTGTCAAAATTTGCAATTTACAATACAATCCAATACTACAATATGCAATACAATACAATACAGTTTGTCAATTATGACTTCTACTTGTAGATCCAATAGCTATTATAGATATTGGTTTGGCTGGAAAGTATAAATGAATTTTCGTATAAATGAATGAATAAATGAATAATGATTTGAATAATTAACCGATCAACGTGTGATTTTCTTTAAATAAGAATGATTAACCATTTCATTTAGCTCATTTTTAGGCAAATTTGAGTCAAATTTGAGTCAATTTGAGTCAAATTTGAGTCAAATTTGAATCAATTTGAGTCAATTTGAGTCAAATCTCGACAGGAATTCTTGTTTTTCTCAAAAATCTTTACAATGAACATAGAATGAAAATGGCTTAGTGAAGTTTTATGAAAATTTGTCTATCTGCTTAACTTTTCATTCTCTATCTTTTATCTTTTGAAACAAAAAAAAGATTTCTGCGACAAAAAGTGCTGAGTTTCATCGTTTTTAACTGCTCGACTTCACATCTTTAAAAAAACAAACTAACGCGATCTTTTCAGAATTTCTTCTAAGGGAATTTGCAAATAAATAATTGAACTTTCTGATAAAACAAATCATAGATCGATTGGTTCATTTCTCATTTCAAAAAGTTAGCTTTAAACAAGCGGACAGGACTTTCTGGCCAATCTGACAAGACGGACAGAGTGGACAAGACTTTCCGGCCAATATCAGTACTTGATACTCTTTGATTTAACAATTTTAGGCGACGCTTTTCTTGTTAAAGCTGCCTGGGACAACTACATGATTGATGTAAGTTAAAAGTGAATTCAATTTCAAATTTGAATTTGAATTTATGAAATAACGCGATCTTTTCAGAATTTCTTCTAAGGGAATTTGCAAATAAATAATTGAACTTTCTGATAAAACAAATCATAGATCGATTGGTTTATTATTTATTTTAAAAAGTAAGCTTTAAAGCGAACAAGACTTTCCGGACAACCTGATATTTATGGGGGCCAGTCACTAGGTTTAGAGCTCTTTCTGTACAAGTTTAATGCTAAAAAGGAAACACACTTATCAATAGGCCAAATTTCGATATTGCTGGAAAGTCTTATCCGTCTTTTTGAAATGAAATAATAGGATTTTTTGATAAAATAAACCATAGATCGATTCATTTCAAAAGTAAGCTTTTAAAAAAGCAGAAAAGACTTTCCGGCCAACCTGATAGTTCAAACCAAATTCTCCAACTAAAATTGGACAATTCGACAAAGCTTGGGTGGTCTGTTGGACACATACAATTGGACAAATCTTCAAATTGCTTACCCTCATCCGACTTATCAGCTTGATCTTTATTTGTAGCTGAAGTTGACAGGGAAGCCGCATGAAGAATGTTTCCGTCGAGAGCATTGAAAACTGGAGACACATTGTCTTTCTTTATCCAGTAGATTCCAGTAGATTCCACGGCATTTTGATTTTTGATTCGGAAGTTAAAACTTATAAAACTTAAAACATTTCTAATAAATTTTTAGTTTGTCTTTCTTTTTAAGTTTTATGTATCTTGTTGAGTCATCTATGCACTAGTCTAACAATAAGACTGACACTTTCAAATCGCAAAATTTACAACCGATCTGTTTTTGACCCGATCTGTTTTTTTGACATTTTTTTTGACATTTATTTGTCCAACACTTGACTGTCCACTCACTCAAAATACTACCCGATTGTCTCGATTCAACTTGGTCAAATGGTCAATGTTGAATGTCAATGACAAAAATATATAAAAAGAAAACAAATTGAATGGAGAAAATGTTCTGAAATTAGTAATGTTTAGCATTCAAAGGATGTTAAACATTACTAGCTTAAAGCCAATGATAATAGCCAATGATAGCCAATGATAATGGCCAATGATAGCCAATTTTTACCCATAAAAATTCTGAAAACACTTGTACCCTTTCTTTGGATTTCCGCCTACTGTAAGCAATAATAGCTTTGCGAACAGTTTTTGTCAACCTTCAACTACACTGCTTCAACAATTTTAAAGCAGTTTTAAAACTAAGAGACTTTAAGAGAAATCCATGAAATTCAGCTTTGACTAATAGAAAATCTTTGTACTAAACTTTTGCGTACATTTTTGATTTCAAAGTTGCTAACCGTTGTGACGCTTTTTCTGCAAAAGTCAATCCAGAAGTCGAGCAATTTCCCGATTACTCTTTGCTGTTTATATGCTTCGATCTGTCCTTTCTCGAAGTTTCTCGAAGTCCGAGAGCTTTTTACCTCTTGTCATTACTTTAAAATAAGTTAATAAAGTAAAGTTAATTGAATTATAAATGAATAAAAAACGAAAAAACAACTAAAAATAAAAAAATGGCTCTATTATTAGGTTGGCAAGTTATAAACGATCGTTTTTTGGTAATGTGTTTTCTGAAAAAACGGTTTGCTTGATTAATGATTAATATCCAATCAAAAAACTATTTGCTTGATTCAAAAGCCCTATCCTTAATCTACAAAATGACTTTTTTGAATTTCTTTGATGTTTTATTTGATGTTTTATATTACTAGTTCTAACTTTTTCAGGCATTTTAACAAAAGAGTTGAAAATCCCGGTTTCTAGCATTCATTGGCTAGTATATTTTTGAGTGATTGCATACTTTTTAAAATTAGAACGCTTCATCGATTACATAGCTTCCTAAAATTTCTGCAACAATTCAAACAAAAGCCAAAAGCTCAAGGCTGCTTCAATTGTTTCGCCTGAAACTTCAACACCACCATTGGTCTAAGATCTTGGCTTTGGCTGGGCTATTTGGTTTGGCTTTGGCTTGGCTTTTGGCCATTTTGGCTTTTGGTCTTGGCTTTGTCTTTTGGCTTTGGCTTGGCTTTGGCTTGGCTTTGGCTTGGCTTTGGCTTGGGTCTGGCTTGGCTTTGGCTTGGCTTTGGCTTCAGTTTCTTGAGCTTTGGGGCCTTTCAATAGTTTTTGGGCTTGTCTTTGGCTTGGCTTTACTTGGCTTTGGCTTGGCTTTGGCTTGGCTTTTGGCTTGGCTTTGGTTTGGCTTTAACTTTGTCAACTCTGGAATACCCACCTCAACAGAGCAAATGCCTCGGACCATCCTCTTTCACACGCGCACTGGTGGTGGAGCTGAGTCCCACGCTGCACATTGCTGCCAAAACACCATTGTTTAATCCTGAGATTATATTTTTGAGTGATTATGCACCATCAAAACTTCTGAAAACAAAACGCTTCATCGATTACATACTTCAAC